AAAAGCAAGTCTAAAGTCCAGAGCAGAGCGCATTATTTATGCCCCTATGCAGGTCTAAACGCTTAATACACACATGATGTACAGCAATTCACAAATATCTTCATAAATGAAAAAAAATGTTAAAATGTTAAATTAACATGTTACAAAAATTATTATTTTCTATAATTCAAGAGTGCACACTTAGCTGATAATCAATACAGTGTATTTGGCATGCTGTCCCGGGAGAGAGCCCTGAGCTCGTAATATCCTCGAGCCCGGGGCTCCCTCCCGTTAGAAGGGTGAGAGGGATTTTCTCAGAGGATCAACCAAAACATTTTTCAAACATGGGACCCTCTAATAATTCATATTGAGACTAATGTACTCCTCCAACCATAAATTCCCAACCCAACCACCCCCTTTTTTATTTATTTATTTATTTTATTTTTTTGTAAATTTATTTTATTTTATTCTCATTTTATTATTATTATTTCATATCATTATTAATATATTTTTTACTTAATGCATTTCCTTCTCATAATAGTTTTTATTATGTTCATTTGTCTATTTGTCTCTGTTTCAAATTTATGTATGGTTCAAAAAAAAAAAAATCGAAATACCTTTGTCACTGAATACCTTTAATGTACTGTACCTTTTGTCAAAAACACACACACACACACACACACACACACACACACACACACACACACACACACACACACACACACACACACTCACACACACACATACACACACACACACACACATGTTTGTTTTTGTGAAAAGTGGGGACATTACATAGGTTTCCATTCATTTTATACTGTCCAAACTGTATATTGTATTGCCCTCACCCCACCCCACCCCTAAACCCAACCATCACAGGAGACTGTGTGCAGCTTTACTCTCTGATTAAACTCATTCAGTGTGATTTATAAGCATTTTGAGAAATGAGGACGTCACCAATGTCCTCATATTTCACCTTCTTTTTGTAATACCTGTGTCATACCCATGTCATTATACAGATTTGTGTCCTGATATGTCACAAAAACACGTACACACACACACACACACACACACACACACAAAAGAAAAGCATTAAAAAGCCTTTAATGCTATTTTGCAAGGTATTCAATCTTATATCATTTTTGATTATGCAATGTACGGTTGTATGCTAAAGTTTGCCTGAAATAAACCTGCAAATATCAAAAAAAATTTAAAAAAGGAAGGGTGAGAGGGGAGTTCGAATGCAGGTAGGTCTAGAGAACTTCCCTGCTTGTCGCCGTGAGAAGTATAAACTCAGGTTGTAATGGGTGGTAATTTATTTTAGTCGATTGGCTATGGTTTATGTTTTTGGACGGTGGGAGGAAACCGGGAAATCCGGGGGAAACCCACACGAACACGGGGAGAACATGTAAACTCAACACAGAAACACCAACCGGCCTGATACGTTGGACCAGCGGTGTTGTTGCTGTGAGGCAACAGTGCTAGACACTGGGCCACGGTGTCGCCCTATCAGAAAAGGGGGGAGGGGATGTAGGGGTGGAAAGAGGGGGAGCTTCAAGACGAAGATAACTGGAGTAAAAAACTCAGAATATTTATAATGCTTCCGTAATTATTTAATAGGGCAGATTACGGAACTAATAAGGAGACAGCTGTGTTGATCATAAGCATGTGATCCTCTCGAAATTAGTTTATGAATAAACCACACAAATTTAAAAACCACTGCCTCCATGCCTTCTTCACCTCGGTGGGCTTTTTCAGTTTATTCATGACAATTTGCATTTGTATAATGTTATTATATTTTTATTCTTTATATGCATATTTATATTTGTTTTAATGAAAAATAAGTTTAGATTTGTCCAATTGTTTTGGAGACGTCTGCATCACCATATGAGCCATAAGACTAGAACGGGTGTTTGGATATAACTCAGTTCTTAACCAAACTTCATTATTATTGTTCATTTATTCGTTTGCTAGAAATTAGAACTGAATTTAGAAATAGTTTTGAAACAAATCTTTGCACTTAACAAACTAAATTAAATATGTAGGCTAATGGATGTCTTCAGTGGAGTGTGTTCAACATTGTTTCCTTATGCTATGAAAGTAAAAGAGTAAAAGGAAAGGAAAGAGAAAGTAAAGAGGCCAATTGAAGGAGGCTTGTTCATTGCTGATGGTCTGTTTAACTGTTTTCTCGCTAGTGAAGCTTTCAGTTTTTCCGACCAAGTCCCCCATGTAAATAGCAAATGCGCCATGGTGCCATGCACCTGACTCCTAAAGAGAATGGGAGATGAGACTCAAAGCACACCCATAACTCAAAATGAGAATAACTACAACCTTGTTAGACCATGCGCCAGGGCGCAACGCGTATTTTTCCATCCTAAAAATAGCAAAAGTGGATTCGGACAAGGCCGTAATGATTTAGCGACATGCGCATTAGACTTTGCGCCTAGATTGTTAAAATAGAGGCTAATGTTCACTTTGACTCATTGTATAGCAATCCAATTTGCATTTATTCGCAAATGCTTTATGTGATATTCCAGTTTTGCGTATAATTCAAATTTGCATTGTTGGATGAAAACATATCTTGTGTTTTAAAGCTTCTAAGTGTCTTTATATAATTTATAAAACACATTTATCATCAACTGATATTGTTAATTTAAGGAGCTACTTACATATATTTGAAGACTTAATAAAGCATTTTAAAAAATCTACTAATACCATTAATACAGTCAGTAAAGTAGTTTTTAATGGAGCAACTATTCTGCTATAAATTACTGACATGTTTTACAAATCATGCACTAGCACAGTAAAACAAACACCTCGTCTCATCAGGATGTGGAGCTTGAATTTAAGCCTTTTTGACACTGTTGACTAGAATTACAGCCTTTCGCTTTTCTCTCTCTCTTTCTCCCACACACAGAGGGTTCAGTTCTGGCCTGTAATTTAGCTTCCCAGGCGTGCACACACACACACACACACACACACACACACACACACACACACACACACACACACACACACACACACACACACAATCCCTCGTGTTTTGTAGAGGAAATGAACTGTATCTCAGAGTTGTTCCTCCCATAGGAAATCTACACAGTGATAATGCATATTAAAGAAGTTTATGATCGTTATGATCATTAAGACAACATTTCCATATTCCATACATGCAGTTAAGAAATAAAAGCTGTAAACTCTGCAGAAAAGAGCATTTTAATTACTTTTTAAAAAGCAGCTTCAGTTTGTGTCAAGCACAAGGTTTTTATGAATTGCAGAATTATTATTTTTTTTTCAGATTTGTTTTTTGAAGTACTTTTTTGAAGGTTAAAATATGGTTACAATTGTTATTTGAATTAATATTAAAACTATGATCTTCACAAAACAGACAATATATTGATATATAAAAACAATTTTTGTTTTGCAATATAAATGTTTTTGAATTAAAATTGTATTTGAGTTACATTTAAAGTGCATCCGGAAAGTATTCTCTCTACACACTCTGCACACAATACCCCATAATGACATCGTGAAAAGAGTTTTTGAAATTGTTGCAAATGTATTAAAATTAAAAAACCTGCCACTGACATAATGAAAGGGTAGTCGATTTGAACAATACACAAGGGTTGACTTTCTCCTGACCAAAAAGTTACATTTATTTATTCAGTGAGGAAGACAATAGTGACGGAACTATGACATCAATTTGTATGCAAAAACCTGGAAGCGAGTTAGCATTTAAGCAGTTACGGTTCCCTCGTCCCAAAGTCAAGGGTTTTTTTTCAATGGGATTTCAGTTAAATCGCTTGAATAAGGTCCGTGGCAAAAACAAACTCAAGATACTTTCACGATTTATTTTTCGATACGTAACACATCAGTCACAGCACACTCTTGATTTTTTAATCTGTTACGCTTCTTTAAAATGACGGTTGATATCAAGTTGCTAAATAGGACTAAATGGGCGGTCATGTCATCGAGCTGAACTGGTCTGGAGCACAGCCCGCTTGCGTTGGGCATTTGGATTTGTCTGTTATTTAAGTATTTTCATGAATAGCATTTTATAATTTGTAATATTTTTTCTAAGTGGGAGTTCATATTGTGTGTAGATAATACCTTCACTTGTTAAGACTGTCAAGACAGACTAATTTGTTGATCATTTATTTTAATTAAACAATATAATGAAGATACTGCTTACCAGTGCTGCCTATCTCTTTCCTGCTCTCAGTAATGCAGTCTTGTGAATAAATGTGTAAGGAATACATACATGTTAACTGTCATTTTAACGTGATCAATAAATTTTTCGTAGTTTTTTTCTTCATCTAAACACATTTAAGTCATAACTGCGCTCAAAACTTACACTTCTCCTTAAAATGTATAGCATATGTGACTGTATGAGCTGCTTCTCGCTGTACATCATGACAAAAAAAAAAAAAGAATATTGAATGTTGTTCTGTGTCCGACTTGTCCCTCACGCCTTATTTCTGTTGTTTGTTTCTAAGGTAAGCGGGCTGTATGCACGCGAGCGATACATATCTAAATATTTCTTATGATAATACTATGTGGGTACATTTATACATACAGTTTTAAAATGTTTTTCAACAACTGTAAAGCAAAGCAAAATGGATTTCCCACGTTAAAACGATCCAAAAGGCACGTAGGTCTTTACAGATGTGTTATTAGTGTATTTATTTGTTTATAATATATAGCGTGGATCAAAATATAATAAACCGAGAGAGTAAATCTTAATCATGGACCATATTTCTGAAAACTAGCTTGAAAAGTTGTCTGTAGCAGAGAACATAGAACATAGAGCTTATCATTTTCAAACTTCGAAAAGCCTATGGGAAAAGCCTATAGGGTTTTTATTGAGGGAACCAGTTTTATGCTAGCAGCCGATTAGCCTACAAGGTGACGTCATAGTTCCTCCACTCTAAAGCAGGACTGAGTATTATTATAGTGGCACTCACACTTTTTAACATAGTAACTGCTCTTTTTTTTATTTGTTTGCATTTCTCTTCTCTATCCAGGTGAAAGAGGAGTGTCGCTTCTTAAATGCTCCTCCAGTCCCGCCCCGCTGTGCTAAAGGCCCCACCCCCAGCCCTCCAGTCCCCGCCCGCTTCCCTAAAACTCCTCCCACACAGACGCTCAACCCAAATCTCTCCTTCTATTCCTCTGGACTGACAGAGAGGTAAAACACACACAAATCATTCAGTTACTTTACAAATACCCACAATTCTACACTGTAAAAATATACATTAATTAACAGGTTCAGTCTTTTGTGATAAACAAATTTTTTTTTGGTTGTTTTTTTTACATAATGAATTGCATTATGGGACCTTCATTCAGGGTGCGAATTACAGAGTGGTTTGGGGGGGATTGACCCCCCTAATTAACAATTGATCCCCCCTCCACTGATGAACGTCAAAACAAGGTGTATGGGAAGGTCTGCCGTTTTATAGTGAAAAATATTTTACGCTGATCTGTATTTTAAATAATGCTAATGATTATGATAATAGATAATATAAATATACATTTGGCCACTCCTACAATGTTTTTTGCGAGAAAAAAATAATTTAACTGTCTGAAACTGGCAGATCTGTAGCACTAATAGACACTTCCAGTAACCTCTGAAATAATAATTAATAATTAATATTAAATATCCCTCAAAACACTGAACACTTAACTTAAATATATTTTATTTATAACTTAGACTATTAGATAATTTAAATAAATACAAAAATGGCTGAAACTTCATTCATTCATTCATTTTCTTGTCGGCTTAGTCCCTTTATTAATCTGGGTTCACCACAGCGGAATGAACCGCCAACTTATCCAGCACATTTTTACGCAGCGGATGCCCTTTCAGCCACAACCCATCTCTGGGAAACATTCACACACACATTCACACACACACTCATACACTATGGACAATTTAGCCTACCCAATTCACCTGTACCACGTCTTTGGACTGTGGGGGAAACCGGAGCACCCGGAGGAAACTCACGCGAAGGCAGGGAGAACATGCAAACTCCACACAGAAACACCAACTGAGTCGAGGTTCGAACCAGCGACCCAGCGACCTTCTTGCTGTGAGGCGACAGCACTACCTACTGCGGCACTGCCTCGCCCACAAAAACATAATATAATATTCAAAACACAATTAACATTTCACAGGAGGGCTAATAATTCTGTCTTCAATTGTGTTTATTTGAAGTATTATATATAGTATGTTTTAGAGAGAAAAAAAACACCTCCTAACCGTGATGGTTTGCCATGATGACTGCATAAAATGTTTTAAAGGTTTGAGGCTCTTTTCCTCTGTCCATATGTTCATGACTAAAAACATAAACACTGAAGTTGACGTTTAATTGTAATTGACAGCGACACTGAATCTCCTGTATAGAGTGCTTTATAAAGAAACTTGAGTTATTTGACCTGTGCCGAACTTTAAAGCTTGTGCAAACATCCACTTTCTTAAAAGCTGCTTTCTCACCAGTTACTGGAGAAATACATTCATTCGTTCATTTTCCTTTAGCTTAGTCCCTTATTTATCAGAGGTCGTCGCAATAGTGTAATGAACTTTTCCAGCACGTTTTGCGCAGTGGATGCCCTTCCAGCTGCAACCCAGTACTGGGAAACACCCCTACACTCTTGCATTCACACACACTCATTTTGTTGATTCACCTGATTACCGCCAATTCACCTATAGCTCATGTTTTTGAACTGTGGGGGAAAACTGGATCACTCGGAGGAAACCCACGCCAACATGGGGAGAACATGCAAACTCCACACAGAAATGCCAACTGACTTCTGCTTTGCCAGCAGTTAACCAATAGCGTCTCTGTGACAAAGTGATGTCATGCCACACGGGTCATTGTGTGAAATCAAGAAAGTGGTCTAACTCTGTGCCTCCGCATAACTTTAGATGTGTTGAAAAATAATGAGAATATATATATATATATATATATATATATATATATATATATATATATATATATATATATATATTAGTGCTGTTTATCGATAAAAAAAATGTGACTAATTAATCGCACTTTAAAAAAAAATAATAATCGCGATTAATCGCATTTAAAAGACTGAAACTTATAATTTTGGCTATTCGAATGTAAAATTAGAGTAAACGCAAGACAAATACTATTTAAATTTAAAATATAATTAATTATTAGAATTTTTGCTTACTTGTAACACAGATTTCTTCATGTAAACAACAAACCCACAATAAACCATCAAGATCCTGGCTTGACAGCCATATTTAATATAGAAATAAAAACACAGGCATGTTAATGTCATTTGAATTTCAAAACAATCAATGCCAATAAAAAAAACATTGATTTCCATATTGGATTCTAAGTGGACTGCAAAAAAAATGCCAATATACAAGTATTACAGATATGAAAAATTATAATAATAATAATAATAAAGTATTGAAAATCTGTGCATGCCCTTGAATAGGTTTACCAACTCCCATTCAATAAAAGCACAAAAGCCATATATAGGAAATACCGAGGGTTGAAAAAAACTAATTTTTTTATTTATTATTATAATAAAATTATAATCTGCACTGGAAATGTGGGTGCCTGTGTGTTTTGAGGGAGCCTAATAAATGATGAACATGACAAAAACTGCCTGCTGACGCACACAGTTAATGTTGATTAATAAAATAAAGATAAATAATTAAAGCAATGTATCAGAGACCCTAAACAAATGTTTAACTCAACAATGAAACATCAAACTTAGCTAAAAGATTTTACATTGTCAATCAAATGAACTAAATGCAACAAATATTTGTTTGAGCAGAACTACAAAACTTAATGTAAAAAAGTTGCTTAAGTTGCACACTAGTTTGGTCATGTATAAATATCATTATAATAACCATATTGTACAAATATTATTAAATATGATATCTCATGCCCTTGTCTTCTGACCGAGTGCATCTTAAAATGCATGGCTGACACCCCTCTTAGAGCTTGAGAAGCAGACATTCTTTATCATTTGTAAAATAAAGACTTGCAGGTTAAGGAAACAGCATAGGAGGGAGTTGCCACAAGCCGTGGTGCAGATTAAAAGAAAAAAAAAAGTATATTTCTACGGACAGATAGGTAACTAGATAGAATAGACGGGAATATATTGACCTGTGCCCCGCTGCAGAGTGCAGACGGAAAAGCTTGCTCTCCCGCGGCGCGGACCCGTGCGTAAGAAACAGGCGTGACTCTCGGCTATTTTGACAAAAACACACCTACGTTACACAGAGCCCAACATGGAAGTTTGTGATTGGCTCAGCCCAATGTCAATAAAGAAAAGAACCAATGGGCTGCGGATTATGTCACACGGCTGCTCTTTCCGGAAAAGAAACATCTTACTTTCAGAGCGTGACAGCTCACACAGCACCATCAATCACTTAGACAGAAAAAAATGACATTCTGCTAGGTGTTTTATGGGCCGATCAGAACATAAAAAGATGAAAGTACGTCGACCCAGCGGGAAACAAAAAATGCGGTAATTGCATTAATTTCTTTTTACGCGTTAATGATTTTAAATTAATCGCATGCGTTAATGTGTTAATTTTGACAGCGCTAATATATATATATATATATATATATATATATATATATATATATATATATATATACCGATAAGTCTAAAACCATGTGATGGAGCCCGATTTCCGATCATGTGATCGAACTTGGACACCCTTAGTAACAATAACAATCCAATGGTTGGCCCTCTCTGCATGTAGATTTTTCTAGGCATATATTACGTTTTTTGTGACTCTTTCTCTCTCTCTTTCAGCTCTGCTCCTCGTAGTGGCAGCAGCTCTCCATCGCCAGATTCTTACTCTCTGTACTGTTACCCATGCACCTGGGCTGACTGCGTAACCTCTGACACCTGCGTGACCCCTGACTCAACCCAGCCCGCACAGGCCTGTTGGTCCCACCCACGAGGAGGTGGAGCCTACACCTCCAACATCCTCAACACACCTTTACTCAGCACTGACTCCACCCAAAAGAACTACTCCACTTGCCCAAGACCACGACCAGTGGCACAAAACCGCTTCGCTCCTTTCGGCGCCCTAAACCCCTTCGCCAATCCAGGACACACCCACGCCTCCTCTGATTGGCTCACCACTGGTAGGGACTCTCCTACTCTAATACCTGACCTCATAAGCTCCACACCCAAGGAGACTCAAGCCAATCAGGGAGCTTTAAAAAGCAGTCCTGAACCTCTTTTAAAACCGGTTAAAAGTTCAGAAGACACAGTCACTATAGACACCGCCTCTGGATTGGTTGCCATGGAAAGAGGGGCTGAGGGCGGGGCCGGGTCACCATGGCGACCCCCCGCAGAGCTCTGCTGGCTCTCAGTGGAAGAGGTTTCATCCAGTCTGCGGTTTATCGGCCTTTCGGACGACGTGATTGGTCTGTTCAGCCGAGAGAGGATTGATGGCTCTATATTTACTCAGCTGACAGAGGAAATCCTGTCGGAGGACTTCAAACTCACTAAACTACAGGTCAAAAAAATCATGCAGTTCATTAAGGGATGGAGGCCCAAGATATGAGAGCAGCATCTTTGTGATTTTATAGACATTTTAATTGCAATGGACTTGCAATGTACGGAAGTCCTTTGAGGTCATGCGTTGTCATAATTAGGGGTGTAATGGCACATCGAAGTCATGATTTGGAGCGAACCTCGATTTTGGGGTCAGTTTGGTACAGGGATGGTACAACAAAAATAATAACAAACTTGCACATGATTGGCTCTCAGTAATGTCAGTTCTGCAGCAGTGGACCAATTAGAAGAAGGCAGGGTAAGAGTTGCTAGAGCAGAACTATTTCTCAATGCTACATCTCTTGTTTTCAGACGCAAATACACATTCTTTGTGAATGGATGCTAAGTTATTGCACTGTGTTTTTTTCTTTTTAACTCCAGTGACTGGCTCATCTAGACTGAGTGTATTCATCGTGTGTGCGTATGAACCGAACCATCACCATACTGTGACGGTTTAGGATGAATACATATACTGTACTGTTACACCCCTAGTAATTTTTTTTTCTTGTATTCTCTTAATTTTCTAGTGATCTCAAAATTTCAAAAGTTGTTTTCTCCTGATCACAACTTAATTTTCTCTCTATCTCGACACAACACAAGTTGTTTTCTTGAGTTAACAGCTTATTTTTTTCTACTTATTCTGAAGTCTCTTATTTGACACTGGGCTTAGGCGATATCCAAATTTTGATACTGTCGAACCTCCTCCGTATTTTACCTCTGTATACGGTATTATCGTATTAATAAAATTATGATGTTAGGCTCAGACAGCGTCACCAAACTGTTGGCTTGAGCCGAAACCATTCAAAAACTGAATACCAAACACTAATACTGAAATAATAACGAATGACATGCACAACAATATTAACAACTTTTATTAGCAATAAATAGCAGTTTATAAAAAAGTGCAAATACAACAGTCAAACAGAATTAAATTAACATAAACATCCAGAACAGTTTTCATGCAGAGACGCTAACACAAATTCAATTAGTTCAATTTTGCTATGTCTTTAAAGGACTGTTTTCCACTGTGAGGAAAGAGACCATTTCCCTCGCCAAGTATTTTGTCACTGCATCAGTACAGGTTTTCCAACGGACACTGTCCCTTTTGTACTTTGTTGTTTTCCCAAAGACCCCTATTATCATCGGCTGCGTACTGGCGGTGAACCTGGATGTTGCTGGTCCTGTATCGGGAGGCATTGAAACTGTTGCACTGAGTGAACTCAGGTCCATCCTCACAGCAGTTAGTGCATGGTAGTTTTGTATATGAAACCTTAGGTTTAAGGTATTTCCATCTCTTGTAGTTACCTTTTTGTTGCACAATTTGCAAATTGTCTCGTTCGTATGTACAACCTCTCCTTTCTCATTTGATCAAAACCCGAAATACGGCCAAACTGCAGAAATTGTGTTCTTTTTCAAGACCAGGGGCCTCATGTACGAAGACTTGCGTGGAAATCTTACTAAAACATTGCGTACGCACAAAGCTGTAAATGTGCGTCGCAGTGGCGCGCTCGTAAAACGCTTGTGATCATGAATTGATACGTTTGAGCATGAACTCGGTTCGAATCCAGCGTCTGATGAACTCTTTCTTGTTTTTTCCCCCGCTACATATCCGATTTTGCCAACTATTTATCACGAGAAAGACAAGTAGGAATCATCAATAAGTTCATATCAATAAGCATCATATTTTATTTGCACATTTATTGAATGGAAATGTTTCTGATTCACGAATGCAAATTCATCTTCAGATAGTGTCTTTATAGCAATGTGCGTGCGGTAGATCGCTCAGATTACATTGGGAAAACAGGCGACTGCTGCAAATTGTGCTTTAATGTTTAGCTGGTCAAATGTATGGTATGGAAACCTTATATACCTGCTGAACCCGTCTCATACAGCTGCCATTGCAAGGCTCAGACACTTTGTAGAGAGGAATTTAACACAACTGCCTCTAGGAGTCGCCAATGGAAATAAAACAGACACGCACAAGAAATGTGCGTACGCCTGCCAGAAAGCTGCCGTGAAGCTGCGCACATTCCCACGTTCAGTTCATTGTTAGTAAATCCAAACGTGAGCGATTCTGAGCGTGAAACCTGGCGTACGCAAAGTTTTTGTGCGTACGCAGCGTTGATACATGAGGCCCCAGGTCACTTGGTGTGCGACTTGCCATCTTTCCCCACCTCTTTCTTTCTCCTCTACGCTGTCCTCTGATGACAACCGTGCATACGCATTTTTAGGCATTAAAAATTATATTTAATATTTAATCCTTGTCTCCTATATCAGTGCATTGTTTTTTATGACGGTATAACGGTATTAAAACTGATACCGTTGCTATTTTTAGATACCGTTTACTACCGCCCAAGCCTATTTGACACACAAGAATGCGTTCATGGATCTCTCTGTTAACGAGCTGATGATCTGAATCAGGTGTGTTAAGTAAGACATACAAAATGTGCTGGAGAGGGGGGGGGGTGGTCTTGAGAACTGGAATTGGGAACCACTATTCTAGATTAGAAGCAGTGAATGCGCAGTATTTCATACCACTTTTTAAATAATTGAAAATCAGGTTGAAAAGAAGGCACTAAAAGCAAGCTCTCCATTCTTTATAATCTATTAAATACATGAAACAAACCTTTTTTTTGTGCCAGCCAGAACCTACTCTTTAAATACAAGCAGTGAGGAATTATTAATGCAGATAATGATATATAAGATGATAATATGAACTTAATCATGGACATGTTTAATAATAATTAATATTAATAATATTATTTACTGGCTGGCTGTTGTGATTTAAGCCCTTAAGTTATCTCTTCTTGGTTTGCAGGGCTAGTTCTAACTCAAATGCTGCTCTAGGCATACATTGGGCAGGTATAAATAATAACAATATTAATAATCAAATTAATAAATAAAAGCAGGAAAATTAAGTTGTGATATTGACAAAAACAACTTTGTTATGTCAAGATCACAAGAAAATTAAGTCGTCATTACAAGAAAACAACATTGTTAATATTAAAATCACTAGAAAAATTAAGTTGTGGTCACAAGAAAACAACATTTTTAATATCGAAATCAATAGAAAAAATTAAGTTGTGGTCACAAAAAAACAAGCGAGAAAAAATTTTTTTCAATGCATTACCTCTTAGGACTTCTGTAACAATGAGTGGTGCTTTACTCAGACCATTGCTGATGTGTCTCTGAAAAACACCTCTCTAATTAAAGGACTGACAGATTGTGACTAATGTATTCTGGAGCACTATTTGATGTTTTTATTGTTGGGGTGGGATGATGGTATGTGTGTGCCTTTAATGGGCAGTCAGAGCTCATTGTGTGGTCATTCTGCTGCCTTTTAGGGGTTTTCTGACTGTGTTTTGACCTTTATTTTGGTCTGTTTTCTAGTAATCTGACCTGATTTGCTCACTTGTCAAACTGGTACTTCAGTGGATCTCATGAAACCTGTCAGGAACATCTCCTGGTTATATTTTACTGCAAAATTAAAAGGGGGAAAGTTAAAATTAAAAGGGAAAAATACATGTAAAAAATAAAATACATAATATATTAAATGATTTAATGTGATATAACGATAAATTGCATTAAAAAAGATATTTATTTTTCAAATATGTATTACTGTATGTGACTGGGGGTGACATTAAGCCCAAAACAGTCATTGCTAGAGTAAAAGAAAACACAATTTGTGTGCAAAATAATACAATACTTATTGTTCAACTGTATTACAATATTATTTCAAATAAATAACCTAATTTTAATATTTTAAATGATACAAATTTCAAAAGTAATATTTCTGTATACATTTTTTTGTAACTAGTATATAATTCAGGAGGAAAAATACTTGTCATTGTCATGAAAATGCACAAAAACATAATTAGGGACAACATTTTGCACAATATAATTGATGTTCTTGACATGTTTGATGAGATTTACATATAGTGCTCAGCATATATGAGTACACCAATCACAAATCTATTTTGTATATAATAATATTTTCCATAGAAAACTTTACAATATTATATTTGTGCATATACATTAGTTTAATCTGTACTGTAGTCAAATCTGGAGCTAACAGATAAATGAATAAGAATGAATGAGAATGAATAAGAGCCAGTGCTTCCCACACATAGACTTTACTTGGGCGGGCCGCCCAGGTATGTTAACGGCTGCCCAAGTATTTAGACACACATTTTTTACTATTATTAAAATCCTTTACATTTTCTTTTTTGTATCCGCCAAATATAACCAAACATCCGCGATCGATTAAGTAGTGGAAAGTCTTTTCTCGTTTACCCCTTTCGTTGTGTGTGCTGTCAACACTCCCACAGAGTGCTCTGCAGACCCACAGAGACGCGCCTTTTTGGGACATAAAAAATTGTCCGGCCCGGATTTCTAAATTTCGTTTCTAAATTTTCAACTTTTGCTTTCGCTTTCTAAAGCTTGTGTGCGTTTTTGCATTAACTTTTTACTTTAGGGTATATAAAGGTATCAGAGAATTAAATTCAATACCTTTTAAGCCATTTTGAAAAACTCTTTCTTATTTGTCTTTCTTATTATTATTACTTTTAAGAATTTAAATAATAATTTTAATAAAAAATAATCATGATAACATTCTGAAAATGAGTCCTGTACACACAAATTTATATATGTTGTGGAAAAAATTATTTAACATTTTAAAAAGGGTAAAAATTAAGAGAAACAAAAAATACATAAAAAATTTACCTCCAATTTCTGTCCCTGACGATTGGGTTGTTGTGGTCCTAACCATTGACCACTGCCCGTTCCTCTATGCACCAGCCCCTTACAGCTCCCCTTGCAGGTGGTGGGCCTACAGGTGGATGATTCCATGTCACTCCTTGGTCTAAGCCCGGCCGGGTTCCGTGGGGAAAAAAGTCCTTACCCCAGGTGGAAGAGTTCAAGTATCTTAGGCTTTTGTTCATGAGTGAGGGAAGAATGGAATGCGAGATCGACAGGCGGATTGGTGCTGGGGCAGCAGTTATGCGGTCAATGTATCGGTCCATTGTGGTAAAGAAGGAGCTGAGCCGAAAGGCAAAGCTCTTGATTTATCGGTCAATCTATGATCCTACTCTCACCTATGGTCATGAGCTTTGAGTCATGACCGAAAGGACAAGATCTCGGATACAAGCGGCCGAAATGAGTTCCCCTCGCAGGGTGGCAGGGCGCACTCTTATAGATAGGGTGAGGAGCTCTGTCACCCGGGAGGAGCTCTGAATAGAGCAACTGCTCCTCCACATTGAGAGAAGTCAGCTGAAGTGGCTCAGGCTTCTGTTTTGGATGCCTCCTAGATGCCTACCGAGGGGGGTGTTCCAGGCATCTATTTGGAGGAGGCCTTGGGGAAGACCCAGGACACGCTGGAGGGACTATGTCTCTCAGCTGGGCTGGGAACACCTCGGGATCCCCCCGGAGGAAGTGTTTGGGGAGAGGGAAGTCTGGGGGTTCTCTCCTTAGACAGCTGCCCCCACGACCCGGCCCCAGAAAAGCGGTTGAAAATAAATTAATGAATTAACAAACGAATCTGTTGATTTTTTTGCAATATTTTGCTAGAATTTAAATGTATTATTTTTCTATTTCTAAAGATTTTCAGTGACTAAAATGTTATTTTAATAAATATATACTTTTATTAATCTGTTTTTCTTTTCTAATCTATTAAAATATATGACCAATATACACTGAGAAATGGATCAAAGTGTTCATTTTCAAAATGGGGTGTACTCATTCATGCTGGGCACTGTATATAAAGCACAATTATTCTTCACGTCTCCTGCACACACTGAGCTCATGTCAGGAGGAAAACTTTTATCGAGATTTAAAAATAAAGAGTTCAGTTTGTGATGTACACGCTAATAAGAGCAGCGAGACTTTACAGTCTAAAGAACACGCTGTAATTAGGTGACAGTAATTAAGAGTTTACTAACTACAGCCCACGCTGATGAAGGGTGTGTGTGAGGTGAGTCAGAGCTGCTGAAATGAGAATGTTTTACCTCACGTTTTACTCTTATGTTTTATCAGCATTTCAGGAAGGTTTCTGGAATGTTTATTTAACGACGTCCCCCCTATGTAGATGCATTTGTCTTTTTAATAATACTGTATGTAACAGCAGTAGTGTGTTTCATTTGTACTGTAATTTTCATCTTGTATGATTTAATTGTATGATTTAATCCTGATGGATACTCTACAGAAAAAAAAAACAAAAATAAATCAATAGTGCTTACTTGAACGGTGTGGTTTCCAAAACAGGAAGGGCATCCGCTGTGTAAACCAAATCCTGGATTAGTTGGCGGTTCATTACGCTGTGGTGACATCTGAAATAGAGACTAGGCCGAAGGAAAATGAATGAATTAATAAACGGTGTGGTATTCCTTTAAAAGATGATACAAACTTTTTGTTACTATAGATATTAAAGTTAAAAATTAAAATGTATTCACTTTACTCACCCTCAGGTGTTTCCAAACCTGTTTGAGTTTCTTTCTTCTGTTGAACACTAAGTGAAGTTTATTCATAAACTAATTTCGAGAGGATCACGTGCTTATGATTTATCACGTCCAGTCTCGTATTTGCTAATCACTAATCTTCCAATCATATGAGCCCTAAGGCACCATAAATAGCCTCAGTTTTCAGTTCACTTTATCTTCGTTTGGAAGAAACCCCCCTCCTCCCCTATTCTCCTCCTTTACCTGCGATTGGGCGGCACGGCGGTCCAGTGGTTAGCACTGTGAACCACACAGCAAGAATACTGCCGGACCGGTGAGTGTTTCTGTGGGGAGTTTGTATGTCCTTCCCGTGTCCGCGTGGGTTTTCCCCGGGTTCTCCGGTTTCCTCCCACCATCCAAAGACATTCAACATACATAACAATCAAGCTTGTCTAATTCCTTACGTTCCCTTAGCTACAGCAGCAGGGGAGTTCTGAGATCCACCGAGCTCGGGCTCCCTTCTTGCTCTGCCAACGGGAGGAAGCCCCGGGCTCGAGGAGCCCTTGAGCTCGGGGCTCTCTCCCGGGACAGCATGCTAAATAAGCTTTGTAAATCATCAGCTAAGTGTGAACTCTTGAAAGAAGATATTATATAGAAAGCTGAAAACCTGTAACCTTCCATAGTAGGAAAAACAAATACATTTTTCGAAATATCTTCTTTTGTGTTTAGCATAAGAAAGAAACTCATAAAGGTTTAAAAACGAGGAAAGGGTGATTAAATAATGACAGAATTTTCATTTGTTGGTGAACCAATTCTTTAATCTGTTTGCATCAATTTGTATTGCCAGTACAGAGCAAAACCAAACACAATTGTCTACTTGCAGATCTCTTTAAGTATCAGTATGAACTAAATGTTTTACTATTTTAGAAAACAACACTTATACTAGTGTGATATAAGCAAAATATATATTAGAATTATATAAATGTAATTGTGGACCACTTTTATTTATTTAGGTGCCATTTTCATTATTTGCCAACACTGCAACTTAGCTGTTTCAAAACATCCAGCAATTGAACTTTTTGGTTCTGTTTATTCAGTTAATTATTTTTTTATTTTTTACTAAAGGAACTGTTATTGTAATTATCATACATCAAAATAGACACCGTTTGGCTAATGGTTCCACAAAGTATTCATTATACGTTTGGTTAAAAATAAAGTGGTTCTGTTTGTATGCACGGTACAAGACTGTTTAAAACTATTAGTACAGGAAACTTCCATCATCATCATCATACTGGAGTTATTTCCCACACAAATTTTAACCTAAATACGCCATGTAGGCTTAAGCAATTAGCTACATCTGCAACCATTAAATTAGCTTACTTTCCCAAAAGCACTGTCGACATCAAATGAAATACTTCATATTATTAACCTAATTAAATAAATTAAGATCCGTTTCCAAAAGCACCAACTGAAAAGTGACTAAAAATTGTAAATAAAATGGCTAGATGTTGTTGTGAAATCACAGTTTTGTTTTAATATAATATAACGTGACGATTCAATATTTGACCTCTCTCTGGTCATCTTTTTGCTATGTTATTGTCCAAAAGACGTCAGAGAAACAAGCTAATAAAAGCTTAAATATAAGCCTATGTTAATTCATATAAATAATCACATCCCTACCTTGGTGAGTGGTGTAATGTAAGGCTACAGCTGTTTTCTTACTCGCAGAAAAGATGAGTGATTAATATTAAGTGTTGTAAACATCGGACGAAGATCCTCCATGTTTGTTTTTGCTAACGCGCATTGGCGGGCTTTCCTAATAAAGGCGCGAATTTATAGATATGGCGGCTATAGAATAAAAATTACAATAAATGTTACAATTTTTATAAGAGTAAAAATACTATTTAAATAATTAAGATTTTTGTCAATTGACTTTTTACCAAACACTTTTTGGAGACTCAAAACATAAAAAAATAAACAGTAAACTATAATTTCTGAAGTTCCTAAAGCAACATTTCTTAGATCTCTTTCAACATTTCCAGCTAACTTGATGTAATAACTAAAAATATAATAGAAATCAATAACTATATGCCAAAAACACTGATTTACTAAAGTTAAGATGAAAATAGATGAAGCTGTAAAATATTAATTAAAACTACAGCAGCATCTCCAAAAACACTCCAAAGAACACATTTATATTCTACAAATATATACTAACTGGCCACTTTATTAGGTACACCTTACTAGTACCGGGTTGCTCCATATTGACATGATAGCATCACGCAGTTGCTGCTGATTTGTTGGCTGGACATCCATGATGTGAATTTTTTGTTCCACCACATGCCAAAGGTCCTCAATTGGATTGAGATCTGGTAACTGTGGAGGCCATTTGAGTACAGTGAACATATTGTCATGTTCAAGAAACCAGTCTGAGATGATTCCTGCTTTATGACATGGTGAGTTATCAGTAGCCATCAGAAGGTACACTGTGGTCATAAAGGGCTGGACATGGTCAGCAACAATACTCAGGTAGGCTGTGGTGTTGACACAATGCTCAATTGGTACTAATGAGCCCAAAGTGTGCCAAGAAAATATCCCCCACACCATTATACCACCACCATCAACCTGAACCATTGACGGCAAGATGGATCCATGCTTTCATGTTGTTGACGCCGAATTCTTACCCTACCGTCAGAATGTTGCAGCAGAAAATGAGACTCATCAAAGAGGCAACGTTTTTCCAATCTTCTATTGTCCAATTTTGGTGAGCCTGGGTGAATTGTAGCCTCAGTTTCCTGTTCTTAGCTGACAGGAGCGGCACCCGGTGTGGTCTTCTGCTGCTGTAGCCCATCCGAGGCAAGGTTGGACGTGTTGTGTGTTCAGATATGCTCTTTTGCAGACCTCGGATGTAACAAGTGCTTATTTGAGTTACTGTTGCCTTTCTATCCGCTAGAACCAGTCTGGCCATTCTCCTCTGACATCAACAAGGCATTTGCGCGCACAGAACTGCCATTCTTAGTAAACCCTAGATTTGTTTGTGTGTGAAAGTCCCAGTAGATCAGCAGTTTCTGAAATACTCAGACCAGCCCGTCTGGCACCAACAACCATGCCACGTTCAAAGTCTCTTAAATCACCTCTCTTTCCTATTCTGATGCTCGGTTTTAACTGCAGCAGATCATCTTGACCATGTCTACATGCCTAAATGCATTGAGTTGCTGCCATGTGATTGGCTGATTAGAAATTTGCGTTTATGAGCAGTTGGACAGATGTACCTAATAAAGTGGCCAGTGAGTGTATATGTTTTTATATCTGTGTAAGCACTACATATTAATTCATTTTCATTCTTGCAATGATTTTTACTTTACATATAGTGAATTATGTGCTGGGTGTAAACAAAAAAACACATACACACACAGCAAATTTTAGGGGATGTTAGTTTAATGTAGCAGAAACATATGCAAACATACAAACTATGCTATACAAAAATACAACAAATAACTGCTCAAAAGTCCTTGTCCAGCTTGACTTGGAGATAATCTGAGGCACGCTGGTTAAAACAAAAACAATGTAGCTGCAACATTTAAAGGCTTTAACAGAAGTGATGTGATGTGTACCTGAATAAATAAACTACCACCATTCATTAAAAAAACGCTGTGTTGAGGAAAATTTAAATTTTACAGAGATGTTATATTGTTTGTTCGATTATTAAACTCAAAAAATATATACAGGCCAAATTAGTAAAGTGCTTTTAACCCAAAAATGATACAGTACATTAAAGTTACGTAAATAATGCACTTAGTGAGCAAATGAGATGTTACTTTTAATGTGAAGTGATACTGAGGTCATGAGGAGATTATAAAAGTGGTGAATCTTTTCACTTGTGGAACCTCTTGCTGGTGTTTTTAGCGTGATCAAGGAGAAGCTGGCAGGGACTGAACTGGTTACCATAAACCTCCTCAAAGCGCTTCATTTTCTGGATAAGTTTGTCTGCGCCGTAAGAATCCACAAAACGGAACGGACCTGAAATGGAGGAGAAAATGAAGTAGGTTGCTAGAGTTTACTTTGTATCTCCACAATTATCCTTAGGCACAATGTGGTGTGCCTCAAGGCTTGGTGCTAAGCCCGCATCGGTTACGATAAATCACTTTAATTACAAGGCGTGTGATATTCGTTTACCTCCCAAGCAAGGCGGGAATCCAAGTCCAAACACAGCTCCAATATCTCCCTGAATGGGGTCGGCCAGAATGCCTTCCTGTAGACACAGCACGGCCTCGTTCACAAATCGAGACACGAGTCTGTACTGAATATCCTCATCGCTGGAGCTAAATGCAAAACAAATGTATTAATATAGCACATTCCATAAATAATGGTAATTCAAAGAGCTTTACGTAAACAAGTGAAATAATAAATAAAAATAATTAAAAACAGACAAAACTCATTATCCCTCTCAAGGCAGGTGTTGCAGATTTGCAACAGTTAAAAAACAACTAGAATAATAACTAAAAAATAACTAACTTATTACTCCAGATACATATTTTATGAGTTTTTTTTATTCAGAAGTACCACTGCAGGACTTGTAATTTAATGTAATGTGTTTACACTGCAGGACTTGGTTGTCCATTAGCAACAAACAGTTTCCCCACTTGCACACCAGATGACATAAAAGGCAAAAACTGTTTCTTGGAGTACCACATGACAAAGTGACTTGGAAACATGACCTACTCAATGAGGATTTGACATATTGGATTTGGATCCCATGTTGTTTTTGTTGTTGTTCTGCCACTGAAAAGCAGTTTGTTACATTGTTTGAAAAGTTGTACATAAAAAGTTATTGTTCACATCATACTCAGTCGTCAGTGTCTAATTACCACACTGAGCAAATCTGCAACATCCCAGAACACCTTGCATGTGAAGGTCTCTCTCTAAAAAAAAAAAAGTCAGGATTCTATTGTACTGCTCCATATGATAATTTTCCCCAAATATCAGATTTTTTCTGTTTCTAAAACTTAATTTGAGCCTGAGAGGGTTAAAAATGTGTTAAAACATGTTTTAAAGGAATGAAATGAAAATAAAGAGGACAGAGAGAAATATGAAGGGTTTCTAGTTGCTATGATTTGTGGAGTTAATCATATAAACAGGCTTACACAGCAGGGGGCGCTGTTAGCTTGAAGCTCTTGAGAATTTCTTCAGCTTCTGAGTTCACTTTCTTTTCTTTTGACTTGGCTCCGTACACATAACAACCCTTTCCAGACTTGCGTCCTGAAGTGCAGATAAACAATCAAAATCAGCATTCAGATATTTCTTTATTGCATGTTATACTTTCTTTGTGTATTTTGTGAAATTTAAAATGAAAGTTCATTCATTGTTGTTAAAGGGTTAGTTCACCCCAAAAATGTCATTATTTACTCCCCCTCATGGGGCTAATAAACATACTAGAGTTTCTTTCATCAGTTGAACACAAAAGAAGATATTTTGAAGAATGCTGCCAGAATTCTTTAAAATTTCTTCTTTTGTGTTCAACTGAAGAAATAAACTCAAATGAGTTTTGAACAAGTGCAGGTTGAGTAAATAATGACAGATTTCCATTTTTGGGTGAACTAACCCTTTAATTACTCACCCTCATGCAATCCTTTAAAAATAAAAAGAAAACACTTTTTTCTTCAGTAGAAATGAATGTTTGTGGCTCATAAAAATAATATACTTATATATATTTATATTTATATAGCTTTTTCTTGACACTCAAAGCGCTTTACACATTTTTGGGGGGGATCTCCTCATCCACCACCAGTGTGCAGCATCCACCTGGATGATGCGATGGCAGCCATGCTGCGCCAGACAGCACACCACACACCAGCTGATTGGTGGAGAGGAGACAGAGTGATGAAGCCTGGGATTTTTAATGACCTCAGAGAGTCAAGACCTTAGTTTAACGTCTTACCCAAAAAAACGGCGCTCACTGACATCATAGTGCCCTTTTCATTATACTGGGGTGTTAGGACCCACATAGACCGCAGGTTGACAACCCTCTGCTGGTCTCACCAACACCACTTCCGGCAGCAACCTAGCTTTCCCATGTGATCTCCCATCCAGATACTGACCAGGCGCAGCCCTGCTTAGCTTCAGTGGGTGACCACTGACTTAACCTTTTCATAGGGGCATGAATGAAATGTCATAGGGGCAGAAATAGCCTGCTTGAGAATTTGTATCCTCCGTCATCTGTTTGCACGCATAATGTAAGAAATTAACTACAGTTGAACTTGTCACGAAAGTAAAAACAAAACGCCCCAAATGACATTTACTGCCATGATAAACTCGAACTGTTGTTGAGTGAAACACTGGTAGAAACTTGAATGCTGATGTAATGATGTTAAACATGTCAAACGGGAACTAAAGTAAACATTCATTCATTTTACTTCAGCTTAGTACCTGATTTATCAGGTGTCGTCACAGTGGAATGAACCGCCAACTATTCCAGCATATGTTTTACGCAGCGAATGCCCTTTCAGCCGCAACCCAGTACTGGGAAACACCCATACACTCTCATTCACACCCACATTAGCCCCTTTCACACAGTGATACCGGTAAATATCCGGAAAATTTCCGGAACGACTTTACCGGTATATTCAAAAAAGCGCTGTTCACACAGGCGAGGACGTTACGGAAATTTTCCGGAAAAGAGCATTCACACATCCATTCCAAAATACCGGTAAATTCTGACATCACTCACCACAAATGAGCTTTAAACGGCTGCGCTTGTATTTGTAAACATTTGACTAAATTACAGACTCTGTGGATGATCAATATTGTGAACAACTTTCGCAGGATAACTTTCGCATGTCGAGATGTTCATAATTGTGCAGGCGCTCATAGGCGCACGCAAAGCTTGAAGGTAAACAAACAACGGCTTATCATAAGCATCTCATCGATGATTATTTACACAGTTGACATTAAGAAGAACATATAAACGTGATCTGACTAACTTCTAGCAGCTAAATGTGTCTGGAAAAATATTCAAAGGCTTTTATCCTCACAAACCGCGCGGACGTAAATGCGTCTGACTGTTGTGATTGGCTAAAGCAGACGTCTCACGTCAGCACGTTCTAGACGTGCACGCGCTTATTACGGTAATCTTCCTTCTGCATTCACACAGCGCAGCATTCCGGCAAATTGCCGGTAATGTTACAACTTCTCTTTCCGGAAAATAGCCAGAACGAATTTACCGGTATTTTCAAAAAGGACCTGTTCACACATACAACCTTTACGGAAAATTGCCGGCAATTTTCCGGAAAGGTCTGTATGTGTGAAAGGGGCTATTCATACACTATGGCCAATTTAGTTTATTCAATTCAACTATAGCACATGTGTTTGGACTGTGGGGGAAACCGAATCACCCGGAGGAAACCCACATCAACACTGGGAGAACAGGCAAACTCCACACAGAAATGCCAACTGACCCAGCTGGGACTCAAACCAGCGACCTTCTTGCTGTGAGCAACTAAGCCACCGTGCTGCCGTCCTCATGCTGCCTCCAATTCAAATTAAGGCAAAACATTAGATTACTCATGTCCATGTAAAATAGTCAATGTTCTGTAATCCCAAACTGAGAATTTATGGAGATAAAGCTGCATGTGGTTAAGCTGATGTACCTTTGAACCCTTTTTGCACCATGGTCTTCAAGAAGTCAACATTTCCTCCTCCGAACCGCGCTCCAAAAGCCTTGCCAAGATCCTCTGCAACATGAGCCGCCACGTCAATACCGACCTCGTCAGCAAGTGTCGCTAAGCCCACAGGAAACCCGAATCCTGTTGTCAGGGAATCCAGTTTCTTGGGCCCGACTCCTTCCTGTCAGCCAAAGTGATGAGACAGGAAGATTAGAGTTGCCTCATATGATCAGAACAGTTTTGAAGAGACACAGAAAAACGGCTACAGGCCAGAAAGAGCACAAAAACAAAGGAATTCATAATTGCATGGTTACAATTTTTTTTTAGCAAAATATTTGCTACATAAAAATATAATAAATACTTCCTGTTACAAAATGTAACAAGACTACAAAGTGTAAACACTGCAGATACATCTTTTTTTTTTTTTTTTGAACTTTATTTTTAGACATTAAAACATTTTACAGAACAGAACATTCAGTGACAGCAGCGATTATTAAGAGAAAAAAAACGACAGTAGCCGCAGATGTAAATTAAAAAAAATTACAAAAAAAAAAAAAACATGCAATATTTTCAGTTTCAAAGGAACTAGAAATACTATGTCCTATTCAGATGCAACGTAACAGGTGCCCATCTTTGTTTAAAAATATCCAGCTTTAGTTGAAGTTGAGCAGTCATATACTCCATTCTATATATACAATCAAGTTTTTCTATCCACTGTACTATTGTTGGAGGGTGTGGCTTCATCCAATTTATTGTTATGGTCTTTCTTGCACTTAGTAAAAGTATATGTAGTATATATCTCTGGTTTTTATTATATATATATCCTGGGTTAGCCCTTCAAGCAAGAAAAACAGGGAAGTAAAAGGTAGATCTACCTGCATAATTTTCATTATCTCAATCTTTACCCCTTCCCAAAATGCAAGTATCTTCGGACATTCCCAAAATATATGTGCGCGATTACCCACATTTCCACAACCCCTCCAGCATTCCTCTGACTGTGGTTGGTTAGTATATTTTGAAAGGTGTTCTAAAAAACCTAATTTTTGTTTTCCAGTCAAACTCTTTCCAATTATGGCTGTTGATCCCCTTATGAGCTTCTGAACATATGTTTTCCCAAATATCATCCTCAAAAAAGTTCAGATTCCCATTTTTCTTTAATTTGAAGGGTGTTATCTCTAGAATCCAGAATTAGGCTATTATATATCTGTGATATGTGTCTTTTATGTAATCCTTTTTGTTTTTTATATTTATAAAATACTGTTCCACATTAGTTGGGACTTTTTTGAATATTTCCTTTTCTTTATGATTTGTAATATATCTTCTTAATTGTAAGTATCGAAAGAAATCGCTTGACGACAACATAAATTTGTCTTTAACATGATTGAACATGAATTATGTTAAGTAATAAAGAGTTTTATTACGTCTAAAATATTCAAATATACCAATAATAAACTCATAACACATAGAGAAAATACAGAATTAACATTTCCTTTAATTACACTTCTGTTTAATATTAGAATAAATATTGTTTACAGAATAAAAATAATTTTTACAGGGATGATTTTGGATTTTTATTTATTTAACTTCCTAATTCATGAAAATACTATTAACAGAGAAAATAATTATTTTATATAAAACAATACAAATGTACACTACATGACAAAGGTCTTGTCGTCGACCCCAGTTGTAAGAGCAGCAATTAATAACTTGACTTCTAGTTGATCTTTTGGAAAAGTGGCAGAAGGTCGATATTTCCAGCGAATCATCTGTTGAACTGCATCACAATCATCACAAATACTGCAGAAGACCTACTGGAACCAGCATGGCCCAAGATTCTTAGGGAAATCAGTCAAGTTTGGTGAAGGACAAATCATGGTTTGGGGTTACATTTAGTATGGGGGTGTGTGAGAGATCTGCAAAGTGGATGGCAACATCAACAGCCTGAGGTATTAAGACATTTGTGCTGCCTATTAAATTACCACAGGAGAGCAAACAGGAGAGGGTAAATTCTATAAATTTTTCTCTAAAACATTACCACAGGAGAGGGCTAATTCTCCAGCATGATAGCGCTTCTTCTCATACTTCAGCCTCCACATCAAAGTTCCTGAAAGCAAAGAAGGTTAAGGTGCTCCAGGATTGGCCAGCCCAGTTACCAGACATGAACATTCTTAAGCATGTCCGAGGTAAGATGAAGGAGGAGGCATTGAAGATTAAGAGTCCTGCAAGAACGCTTTCTTTGCCATTCCAGATGACTTTATTAATCAGTGATTTGAGTCATTGCAGAGATGTATGGATGCAGTCCTCCAAGCTCATGATGGAGTCAGACACAATATTCATTCTGTTTCCACTGCAGCATGACTTTATATTCTAAACTGGACATTACTTCTGTTAAGTGACAAGACTTTTGTCTAAGCAAAGTCAGACCGTACTATTCTAATTAAATCATTAAAAATCAAGGCATGATCATATTTTATTATGGTAAAATAAGTGTAATCTAGAGGCCTTTGCCTTCCATATAAGCCACTTCTGAAACCAAATAATCAACTAGAAGTCAAGTTATTATTTGTTGTTCCTAAAACTTGGATAGGTGACAAGACTTTTGTCAGGTAGTGTATAAACATTAGAGATCATAATTCAGGCAAGAATAACACCGTAAAGTTTGTTGTAAGAACTCCTGAAGTGGAGATTTCCTGCATGGCTCAGTGCAGGAGAAAAAAAACAATTTTGAGAAATAACCTTTCAAAATATGTATCATAATTTAAATCTCCATTTGCATGAATTGAAACAATTGAACACTTTAAAGTATATTGCAGATGTTTCCTTTAGGGCAGACTGAAAAATAAAAAACGCTTTACGAAAAGCGTAAAAGCCCAAAACATATGAATTTACCTGAAGAATTCGAACCGCTTCAGCTAACATGGGTGCCAGACAGCGAGTGGTGTAAAACCCTGGACCATCCTGTTGAAACACACACACACATGATCAGTAACTATAATGAACCGATAATACAAAGGTAGAGAAACAAAATGTGTTCGTACCCCCACTACTACGATGAGCTTCCCCTGTTTGAGTCCGATGGCCACGGCAGACGCGGTGGTGTCTTTGGAGGTTTTGTCGGTGGTGATGATTTCCAGCAGCTGCATTTTATCCACAGGAGAGAAATAATGCATCCCGATCACCTACATCCGTGAGGAAAAAAATTCATTTTAGGGCCGGATCAAACAAAATGTACTTTTTTGTAGGACAAATTTTTGAAACCTATTCCATTCTAACCTATACAATACAAAATTTACAGCGGGGCAGATAAGTATTGAACATATCATGTCTCCTAATGGGAATAATATTTCTAAAGAAGCTGTTGCCATGGAATTGTGAGACTTCAACAGAGTGTAAAATCTTAATGGTTCTGTGGGCCTCATCTATCAAATCTGATTTTTAATTTATGTTTTCGATTGGATTCAGATCAGGTGATTGGCTGGGCCATTCTACAGCTTGAGTTTCTTGTGTCCACCCTGGTTTCATCTTCATCCTCTTGCTAATGTAGATGTTGGACTGAAGCAGCTGATATTCATTTACACTGAGGAAGGGCAGAGGCTTGCTGAAGAATACTGAGAGATTTCAGCTGCTGTCTGGGCTTTCACTGCCTTTCTACACCTTCCTTTCTTCATGTGTTCAATCGTTTTTCCCTGTGTCATTTCATTTTATTACACAGAACTTCATTTGTAAACTAAATAGATTTGATAATGTGATTTCTTTGGTTGCCATCAACATTCGGTCAAGTCAAAGGCACCTTTAGAAATATGTTTTCTGAGAAAAATGGTCACATGTTCAATACTTATATTCCCTGCTGTAGATATATTCATTTAAAACAACTAAAGTTGACTAAAGTGCTGAAGACAGAGAAGAAAATAAAATATAAAACAAAACATTTAATAAGTAAAAGCAATAAAACAGTAATCAAGGAGTATTAAAAGCGAGAGAAAATAAATAGGTCTTTAAAACGGACTTAAACACAGAAATAGAGGGGGAAAGTCTAATGTGAATTGTAGTGTTCCTGAGTTTAGGACCAGCAACTGCACGTCGTCGTTTTAAAGCTGCTATAGCTAAACCTATTTTGAAACCTATTTGAAACTGTTCCAGTTTTTTTATTAAAAAAGCTTGCAGCTACAATAATATGATTAACCATAATAACCACTATATAATTTATAAGGAAACTGCTAAATAGTTTTTTAAAAGAAGATGTGAGCTCATTTTGGAGGAACGGGGGATTGTCGGGAGCAAAAATATCTTCCATGATGATGATAAATAGACAATAACTGGCTGTGTTTTTGTCCAACCTTGATTATTATAACATTATTGTAAAATATATTATAGCAGATATTATGTCTCACACTCCTTTCTTATTTTTCTTAAATCCTGATAATTAAATATAACGGAAAACACTTCTAATTTTTAAAAAAGTTGTATTAAATAATTGTATATATCCAGTAGTCAATATTGGAAGTGGTTCAAAAAAGTTTTCCAAAAATAAAACAGGAATGAGTGTTACACATTTTTAGGACAACTTTGTTGAATGGATTTGATCCACTTCAAATGTTGACTACTGTGTGTGATAGATAGATAGAGTTGAAGTCAGAATTATTAGCCCCCCTGTTTATTTTTTTCCCCAAATTCTGTTTAACGAAGAGAAGATTTGTTTTCAACACATTTCTAAACATAATAGTTTTAATAACTCATTTTTAATAACTGATTTGTTTTATCTTTGCTTTGATGACAGTAAATATTATTTGACTAGATATTCTTCTAGATATTCTTTAAAGGCTTAACTAGGTTATTTAGGTCAACTAGGCAGGTTAGGGTAATTAGGCAAGTTATCATATAACGATGGTTTGTTCTGTAGACTATCGAATATAAATATAGCTTAAAGGGGCTAATAATTTTGACCTTAAAATGTTTTTTTAAAAATTAAGAACTGCTTTTATTCTAGCTGAAATAAAACAAATAAGACTTTCTCCAGAAGAAAAAATATTATCAAACATACTGAGAAAATTTTCTGAATCTGTTAAATATAATTTGGGAAATATAAAAACAAAAACAAAAAAATTCAAAGTGGGGCTAATAATTCTGACTTTAACTGTGTACATATATATATATATATATATATATATATATATATATATATATATATATATATATATATATTAGGGGTGTAACGATACACCAAAGGCACGGTTCGGTTCGGTTCATGGTTTTGGAGCCACGGTTCGGTTCGGTACGGTTCGGTTTCTGTTTGCTGTGGGGTTAGGGTTGATGTCATGTTAACAGCAATGCTAAGAGAAAATTCACTTAATAAAAAGAACATCTTAACTTTTTCTTTATTAACTTTGTCATCGCATTTTTAGTACAGTCAGGATACCAACAACTAAAATTAAATAAATACCTCCAATATAGACTAGTCAGAAAAAAAACTATTCTCTTTAGTGCAGCCATCTTAACTAAGTAAACTAAAATTAAATAAATAACTGCAGTGTAGACTAGTGAAAGATCTTCTTCAAAAACACCATAATATCCACATTCTCCCATGAGAGGCTTGATCTCTGTGCAGACACAGACGCTCATTTTTGATTATATGGTTTCATTTAGATAGATAGGTTTCCGTTTAAATTAATAAAAAATATACATATAATGTGTTTGTAAAGTGTTTTTACATGACATATTCACCAGTAAAATACATTGCAGTTGTGTCAGAAACTAATGTTAGGGCTGTAGCCGGCTGTATGTTTGCCTCCCGATCTCTCTCTCTCTCCCGCTCCCTCTATGCCGGTCATTTCTGTAGGTCCGCCTTCATGACAGCTGCTGCCTGTCATTTCTGAAGGTCCGCCTTTTTGACAGCTGATTGGTCAGGAGACCGATCTATCATCATTTGGTGACGCAGCGCGGGAATGTGAAAAGCATGTCAGGAAGAGCGGGAGAGAGAGCGCTTTTTCCTTTGATCTCGTTTTTCGTGTATTATTCTGACATGATTATGATTTTCGTTGTTTTTGCTTAACTTTCGTTTGGGCAAAATTATTTTGCATTACTTTTGCCCACTTTAAGTAATTTTGTGAGGTTTGTACATTTTTATTTCAATTGATTTGTATATTATTTTTTGGATCCGCTCCTTCCCGACAATATAGGCTGTTCACTCTTAGTGTAAGGTGAATAGGGAAAATGTCATACGATTTCCATTTTGCAAACACGTAGAAAATGTATTGCTAAAGACATCAGGTAAGAGGTGAAGGTCATCTTTGTTTATTTTATTCAGTATAGGGAAGAATGCGGCGCTCGGCGCTGAAGACCTTTTTTTTCTTTTCATCAGTTTTAGCGAGGTAAGAGGGGTTATTCATGAGTTAGAATTGTTTTATTATATTTATTTCTTTTGTTTGTCTTCACTATCACCCCCTTGCTCGAGTTTAACTAATTTTTGTTTGATACTTTTGTTTGAATTTGCTACTTTATTATATTATTTTTATTAGTGTAAATATTTCTCTTTTTTTGTATATTTGGGCATTATTCTGGTTTCACTTTTGTACATTAAATCACTTTTGTTGGCAGTTTGTTGCTTACACCCTAACATTGTGAAATTACCACACCTTTAAAATGTTTTTCCTTACAAGTAAGTTTCGTGAAACAGTTAAGACAGACAGGCAGGCGCTTTGTCTACGACACGAATTCTATTCCTGTACTCAACTGGAAAACCAAAATGTTTCCACACAGATGACTTAAATGTGTCTGGGGGATCTGCAATCTCAGTACTATGTAAAGCAGCCATCCTGCGTCCAGTAGTAACAAGTGTGATGCTCACTCAAGTCACATGACATGACATGCACTAAAATACTAACTTTAGAATATAATATTTAGAACAAAACCTC